AATGAAAAAATGAGTCTTTTGAAATTATAGCATTGTCATCTTGGTCATATGTCTTTCAATTTTGTAAAACTTTTGTTTCCAAACTTGTTTGACTTTGTGCCAAAGTTGAATGTTGAATTTTGAATGTGAAGTTTGTTTTCTATCCAAATAATGTAAAACTACATATTTTACGAGCAGTAAAAGAAGTAATGTTGCTTTCCATTTGATTTATACTGATGTTTTGGGCCTATATGCTATCCCCTGCATGGGTGGGTATAAATACTTCATCCTCTTCATTGATGACTACAGTTGTTATACATGGCTTTACTTGATGAAAAGTCGAGATGAAGTTCCTATGATTGTTCAAAGTTTTATGAATATGGTAGAGATAGTTTGAGAAAAGAGTTAAGATAATAAGATCTGACAATGCAAAGGAGTACTTTGAACATCAGTTGCATATATTTCTTGAAGATCGGGTATTATTCATCAAAGTTAATGTAGTCATACTCCACGACAAAATGGGGTGGCTGAAAGGAAGAACAGACATGTGGTTGAAGTTGCTTGTGGTCTACTATTTCAAACTCATGTTCCTACTCGTTTCTGGGGTGATGCTGTTTAGATAGTTGTGTATCTCATTAACCGACTCCCGTCAAGGGTCCTTAACCTTCATTCTCCTAATCAAATTCTCTTCTCTGATGAACGTCCTTTTAATCTACCCCTCAAGATCTTTTGTTGTGTTTGTTTTGTTCATGATATGAGTCATTTTTGGCGTAAGTTTGACCCTAAATCAATTAAATGTGTATTCCTTGGTTACTCTCCATTGCAGAAAGGCTATAGATGCTTTAATGCTCTATCTGGCAAGAGATATGTCTCTAAGGATGCTACCTTTTTGGAGCCCTCTTCTTTTTTCCAATCATCCTGTCCTCTTTAGGGGGAGAATGCAAGTGAAGATCAGACTCTCTTCTGCCTTTTTGTTTCTACTTCTATTTCTCCCTCTCTTCCTTGTAATGATGGTATTCCTTATTCTCCTCCTCCTCCTATGTATCGGCCTCGGTCTTAGTAGTAGTTTTTCATCAAGCGTAGTAAGAGGGTGTCTCTCGAAGCAGAATTCCCATCATAATTTGATTCCCCAGACTCAGGTAATCTTGAACCTCCTGACAATCCTATTACTGATTCTGACATTGATCTTTCTATTGCCATTTTCAAAAAGGGAAGAGGATATGTAGCAAATATCATATTACTAACTATGTGTCTTATGATGCTTTCTCACCTTCTTATTGTGCCTATATTTCTGCCATCTCTTTTGTTTCCATCCATCGCAGTGTTATAGAGGCAATGCAGTTCCCTTACTAAAAGGAAGCTATGAACCAAGAAATGGAGGTCCTAATAAAGAACCAAACTTCGGAGGTTGTTCCTTGCCCTAAAGATAAGATTCCTGTTAGGTGTAAGTGGGTTTACATTGATAAGCACAAGGCAGATGGTTCAATTGAGAGGTACAAAGCCCGACTTGTAGCCAAAGGATACACTTAAACTTATGGCATTGAATATCTAGAAATCTTTGCTCCAGTTGTTAAAATGAATTCTATTCATGTGATCATATCTCTTGCTATCCGTTACTCTTAACTTTTATATCAAATGGATATAAAAAATGCCTTCCTTAATGGGGACTTACAAGAGAAAGTGTATATGGATTTACTACCTGGGGTAAGCTTTCCTAACAGTGATGGGAAAGTCTGCCGCCTGAATAAGTCTTTGTATGGGCTCAAACAGTCCCCGAGGGCCTGTTTGACAGGTCTAGAAATGCTATCTTAAAGATTGGGTTTGCTCAACCTCAGGCTGACCACACCTTATTCATTAAAAGAGTTGATGGTAGAGTACCAATGTTGATAGTATATGTTGATGGCATTGTTGTGATAGGTGATGATATCATAGGTATCTCTCAGTTAAAGTCCTTCATTGCTTCTGAATTTGAGATTAAGGACCTTGGTGATCTCCGATGCTTTCTTGGCATTGAAGTTGCAAGATCCAAGAAAGGAATTTTTCTATCACAAAGGAAGTATGTATTTGATTTGCTTCATGAAGTTGGGAAATTAGGGTGTAAGCCTATAGAAACTCCAATTGATCATTTGATCCTAACCACAAGTTGAGTTCCACTAAAGAAGTTCTTCTAGACAGGGGGATACATTAGAGATTGGTGGGCTGCCTTTTGTATCTCTGTTTGACTAGACCTGACATATCCTATACTGTTGGAGTGGTTAGCCAATATATGCATGAAACCATGACATCTCATATGTAGGCAGTTAACAGAATTTTAGCCTATCTGAAAGGATGCCCTGGTAAAGGGATGTTGTATTTCCAATCACGACCATTTAAAGATTGATGCTTACACAGATGCTGATTGGGTAGGGTCTATTGATGATAGAAGATTTACATCTGGTTATTGTGCCTTAGTTAGAGGCAATGTGGTTTCATGGAGAAGTAAGAAACAATCTATTGTTGCTCGTTCTAGTGTTGAGGCAGAGTATAGGGCAATGGCTCATGGAGTGTCTGAACTACTCTGGTTGAAGACTTTATTGATTGAGATGGGCATCCAAGCAGATGTCCCAACGAGACTATATTGTGATAATCAAATAGCCACAAATATTGCCTACAATCTTGTCCAACATGATCGTATAAAGCATATTGAGGTGGATAGACACTTTATTAGAGAAAAAGTTGCTAGCGGATAGATTTGCCTTCCTTTTGTATGGTCAGAAGACTAACTAGTTGATTACCTCACTAAAGGTGTTTAACATCTAAAGTTTGCCAAGAACCTTGACAAATTGGGCATAATTGACATATATGCTCAGCTTGAGGGGGAGTGTTGAGAATACTTAGACAGGGGCGTTTTTGGACTTCTTCTCTTCCCTTGTACTCTTTTTGTATTTGGGCACCCAAGTAGGGGCTTCCTTGTAATTTTCTCCTTTCAAAATATAAAGATATTTTGAGGGTGTGACAGTAACTATCACACACACCTCTCGACACATCTCTTTTTCTTCTTCTTCTTCTTCTTCTAAACCCTAGTTTTTACTCGTTTTGCAACTGAATTTTGGTTGAAGTTGAGCAAATCCACCTAGTTCTGTTGAGTCTAGCTTTAGATTTTGTAGGGGAATGGTATGATTGGTTGAGGGGTGTATCTCACTATGTTGGTTTGATGAGATGTCAATGGAGGTGCTTGGTCGAGCTCAGGAGTTTAACAACTAAGTAGAGGATGGAGGGTAACTGAAAGGGCATGAGAACAGAAGGCTGGAGGTGGAAGATAAGGGGAGACAAAGAGTTGAGGAGGTGGAGAGTTGTTCGAAGGTCGGAGATGATGAATAGGAAAGGTCGGGTGGCAAAGTGGGGATTCTTTGAGAGAGGGAATTGAGCAGTTGAGGTGGGATTTTAGAGGAGATAGGAGGCTAAGTGGGGACAACATAAAAAGCGGAAAGTGATAAATTCTTTGGGTGGTTACCAAGCGATGAAATTCCTTTCAGTAAAGGTTGGGGTTTAGGTGTTAAGTCTTTAAGAGCCTTGAAGGAGTGTGGGGCCCTTGTAAAGGAATTAAGGAAGAGGTATGAGTAAAGTTTGTAAGGGGAAGAAAAGAAATCTGCTTTTGGGTTGTTTCCAGTGTTGAAAGTTCTGGTCTTTTAAAGGATGGATTGATTGCTGGCTTGTTGGAGTTTGTGGTTTCTTGTGATCACATATGTGTTCGTTGCCCTATGAATTGTGAGTCTGAGACGGGATCTGAGCAGCATCTTGAAGGTAATTTGGTAGGGTACAGATCTGACACTCATTCTCTGGAGTTGGCCACTTGTTCACAAGGATTGTATTCTACTTTTGTTACCGAGCTGAGCCAGGACAGTAGGGTTAAAGTTGTTGATTTGCATGTTGGATGTACAGGGGGTGGAGCTGGGGTTTGGGGATGTGTGTGGAACTGGGGTGGAGGCAGTGGAGGATGTGGTGGAGAGTGATTTCAAGGACAAGGAAGAGGGAGGTGACATAAAAGGAAGTGAGGGTGAAAAGGTAATTGATTTTTATAAATTGAATCAATCTGCCTTTTTAGGGTGCGATGTTGACTATTTGTTTTCTGAAGTGGTTGTTGGAAAGTTGGGAGTTGATTTGGGTCGTAGGGGGAAGGAGATTGTTTTGGCCGAGAGTGGTGCTACTTCGGAGGTTCCAAAGAAAACTAGTCTCAAAAAAATTCAACATCATTCATGTTATGAAGGTCTTTTTGAGGCCGAAAGAAGGTCTGGTTGGGGCAGGTCCAACCAACAAATATAGAAGGATTTGTAGAAGAGGAGTAAATCCAGATCTCTTAACCATGAAGACCCTATTACAGAGAATCAAGTTTCGCAAGATGGGGTTGGGAAGAATTTTTTGGTGGTTCTTCAACAGGAGTCGTCAAAAGATAATGGCATTTCAGACGGGAAGGTTAGGAAAGGCGGAAGTGAAGTTAAAGAAGCCACCGCTCAGGTGCTGCTGGAGGGGAAGGAGATGAAGAAGAGAAGCTTGGATTTGAGGAAATTAGTTGATAGAGAGGTGGAGATTGGTAAGTCTTTGGACTTACTTTTCTTGGGAGGTGAGGGTTTTGCTAGAAAAGCTTTTGAAGAATTTGAGAGAAAAAGGAAGGAAGAAATCTTAAGAAACCATCTGAAAAGTTGGGGGGAGTAATTTGGAATGAGAAAGGAGGAAGAGTTTGGTCAGGTGGACTGACATGCATTTCATTTGGAGTCGCTTTTGGAGGTTGTTGTTAGGTATTTGTAAGAATGGTTTCTTTTTATTTGAATCTCGCATTGTAAGATGTTAAAAGTTTGGTTGGTTAGGTTTGTTTTAGTTGTGCTTGTGGGGTGTTACCTTAACACCTGCCATCTGGTTGTACTCAGTGTTTTCTTTTAATAAAATTTTCCTTTTTACATTTCAAAAGAAAATTATGTCTGAATTACAGTATTAATTTCTTCCACTTGACATTTTCTGAATCGAGTTAATTACTCCATTTGCAGCTTATTACAGGGGAGCCATGGGCATATTGCTGGTCTATGATGTTACAGATGAGTCTTCCTTCAACAGTATCCACTTCATATCTTCCTCTTTTTTCTTCTTGAGCTTGTCTCTTTCAGGAGTTGCTTGGGCAGGATTCCCACCAAGTACAGACACAATTATCTTTTTGTATTTGTGATCCCTGACAAGAGACTTGTTTAGACATCAGAAACTGGATCCGTAATATTGAACAGCATGCATCGGATAATGTTAACAAGATATTGGTTGGAAACAAAGCTGACATGGATGAGAGTAAGAGGGTAATAATAGTCTCACTTATGGTCCAATGTACTTCATTTTCCATATGTGCCCAATACTTAAATTAACTTGTCTGGTAGGCTGTGCCAACATCGCGGGGCCAGGCACTAGCTGATGAATATGGTATCAAGTTCTTTGAGACGGTAAGTAAATGTGACATGTAGCCCCATGACAACATTCTCTCAGCACATTGATCTTCTGTCAACGTCCTGTGCAGAGTGCAAAAACAAACTTAAATGTGGAGCAGGTTTTCTTTTCTATTGCTAGAGACATAAAGCAAAGGCTTGCAGAGAGCGACTCCAAAGTAGAGGTACGTTTGTTTTCTTGAAGTTAACTTGAATGGGATCTATATGGAAAATGATGGCTTCAACTTGAGTTCTTTTGTCTTGTGCAGCCTTCGACCATTAAGATCAGTAAACCAGATCCAGCCAAGACTCCAGGTTCTACCACTACAGAGAAATCGGCTTGCTGCGGTTCCTGAAGTGATACAAACAATTAACATTAGCTCTTGATTATTTCTCGTGTGCATGTTATATAAGTCGTATACCCCTGGCCCCCTGGGAAGCCATTTGTGTTTGCCAAGGCATTTTAAATTACAGCTTCTGCCCTTCATGTTTGTTAAACTTCTGGGCGTTGTAATTTCTCCCTCGATCTGTAGAGAGGGGTTCCTTTAAATGCTTTTCTATGCTTCAGGATGGAAGTCCTGAAGTTATAACAATCTTTTCTGGGTGATTTCTTGTGCTATATTTCTTCATGAATGCTCAGTAATATTAGCAATGGGTCAAACAAAATCATCGAATACTTATTGTTTCTACCCATCTCCAAAGCAATCTCAATCTTTCTCTGAGACAACGATGAATAGATTCTACTGCTTGCCTTTGGTATATTTCCTTTGTTGAGCACATGGAACTTGGCGTCTCCAGATATATTATGTTCCGGTGGATATTACTTCCTGGTGTATTTATGTTTAGCTTTGAAAGTGGAACTCCTTTTTATTTGTCAAAGGAAGCCTTTGCATGTCATAAATGTTATATTCAGGTCTTTTGACTTTTTTGTTTTCATCTTATTTGGACAGAGTAGTTGGTAACTTGGTATTTGAGGTTGAGCTTTGATTTTACGAAGAATCCAAGTTCCTTTTTATTACCCTATAAAACCTTTTTATTATGCATGAAAATCGATTGTTCCGCTGGAAATTATTGCAAATCTGTAAGACTATAATTTGGTAGCCAACGAATTGATTATCAAATCGGCCGGATTCATTGGGTACGGGTCTGCAAGTGCAGTCGTTTGGACTGTAAACGACCTACGAATCTATCAGATGCACATGGTCAGGTTGACGCCAATCCTAGCGCAATCCGATAACCCAACACAATTCTTATATTGGGTCGGTTGTAGTTTACCGAAAAACTGGACCCTAACAGACCACCAAACATATAAGGGTTCGTTTGGTTTACAGAAATAGGGGTCTGAAATTGGAATCGGAATAGTTCAACTGTTTGGTTGGGTGGAATTGGAATTCCGTTCTCATTTCTGTTGGAATGGCATTCAACCATTTGAGGGAATAGCCATTCCCTGCCCCTCCCTTGAGAATGAAATCTCATTCCTACTGATTTTAATTCTCATTTCTATTCCTATCTGAACCAAACAGACTATGGGAATGGATCACTTCGATTCCGATTCCAATTCCAATTCTGATTATGAACCAAATGGACCCTAAATATAACTATGTATATCATCGTTTTTTTGGTATTCAATATATATCATAGATGATTACACAAACAAAATAAAAAAGAAGGAAAACTATGCTTCAACTTGCATCATTAGTTATAAGTTATGACTAGCGGTGGTCACTTCGTCTTTTATCTAGGGATTTTGGGGTTGTATTTGGTTGAACATTATCCTCCGCCCTTAGAGGTGTAAATTGGGCCTTGTCGCCCATGGCCTGGCACGGCCCGACACGATGGTCCACAAGCCATGCCAGGCTTGGCATGGCCCGACACGATGGTCCACAAGCCATGCCAGGCCTGGCACGGCCCGACACGATGGTCCACAGGCCATGCCAAGCCTGGCACGACTATGCGGGCTGTGTTGGGCTTGGGGTTTTAGGTCCACTGGCCGGGCTGGAAAGGCACGACTGAGCGGACCATGTCACTCGCAGCCTGCGTGCCGGTATGGCCCAGCAGGGCCTGTGACATGGCCCATATATTATATATATATATTAGCAATTGTATACATCAAAATTCATATAAAATTAAAATTTTAAGTTTTGTTGTCAAATTTTTTAAATAAATAGCTATGGCCCGATGCACGACCCAATTTGGCCCAAGGCTCAGCCCACGGGTCAGCCTGGCTCGCGGCACAGCATGAGCTTGGGCCGTGGGCCGTGCTGGGTCGACCCCCCCAAGTTATCCTAGGGGAGGATGGCACGGCCCGCACTTTGTGTGAGCCACCCACGAGCCATGTCGTGCCGGCCAGGCACAGACCGTCCTAAACAAACCAAAATTTAAATGGATCTAGTATTATATATCATGGGGAACATCTTGTAGCTTCGATAAGCATATCAATAGGACTATCAACCCAGAAACTAGTAACAAGAATTTGACTATCGCTAGGTTTTTTAAAGTAAAAGGGTCTTATAGTTGAAAAATTACAACTTTACTCTTTGGAGACGAGCAAGATGGATTCTACATGGAAAGCCTAAAAAGTAAAAACTATGTTTGGTGAAAAACCGAAAAGCCTATGTATGCTAACTCCCAGATCCAACCCGGGATTGCTTGAATATACAAACCAAACTCTTTCAACCTCCTGATAGCTTGCTTATGGGCCATTGTTGGAAAATAATAGAGCAGAATGAAACTTATTGGTAATCGCTTTCTAAATTGGAACTTGCAAGAGTGTGATGTTGCAGAATTGTGAAACTGAGAAGTTGCAGAGAGGAGGGTTGAGTCATGCCACTTGGTCACTCTCCTTAAAACCACATTTGCCCCCTATGGTGCAGCGGGGTGATTGCAAATCGGTCGCCAAGATAAAACAACCCACAGGCCACTGGTAGACGTGCACTCGCTTACTAGACCTCCGCAAACCACAGAGAATTGATGCACAGATTGACAGAGAAGACTGTCAAAAATGTTGGTGTGTGAAAATTAGGTCGACCAACACTCCTTTTATAGAGTGTTCTCAATCACCCGAATGGACACAGAGGTGTCCTTTCAGATAGGGACCTCTTTAGAACAATGCACTTGTTTGAAGAGACACAGAAAGGAAGAAACATGAAAAAGAAAAAGAAAAACATTCAAAAATTAAATTTGAAATTTAAAATTTAAAAATCAAACGATTAATCGGGTAAAAACAAAACCAATTTGGTGCATTACATGCACGTACACATACTTTGCCCTCACCCTCGCCCTCGCCCCAACCTGGCCCAACCCGGCTCGACATGTGTGCCCCCCCTCACATGTATGGGATATGTATAGTGCTTTTCTCCTATGAATCCCTACCCATAGAGAGAACAAAACTATAGATATATTCTACCTCTACTCTTTTCCCAAACAATGTGGGATAAAGAATCTTCCCATGCATTCAAGAGAGGGAAGAGGAAAAGACAACTCAAAGAACAAGGGAGGGAGGAGAAATTCTTGAAATTTTGAATCTCCCTCCAACCATAGAGTTTGCATTCCTATTTACAAAAGACACTGAGATGTTCAAATTTTGCAAACTATTTAGAAAATCCTGAACCAGAAAAACAGCATCATTAGCTAAGAAGGCATTTCTTTTGTAGACTGTTGTGACCAAAGCTTGACAATCACTTTCGAACACAATCTTTCTTCCTTCTAAATAATTCGCCAGCTTCAGGCCATGACAAAAGGCTTGGGCTGGGGGAGTTTACCTTACTATTCCCAAAAGAAACTGCAATCACTTCCCCTTTGAAGTCCCTGGCAACCACTTCAAAACCAGCCGGGCCTCTCAACAAAAAGCTTCCATCAATGTTAAACTCGATCTCTCCTTCTATAGGGGGCTTCCAAAAAGATGCAAGTCTAGATTGATTAGGGGCTGGAGAATAATGCAGCCATCCTTGTTGGGAAATCAACTTCCTCTCCTGCATCATCTTGATAATTGGCAATTTGGCATCACAGTAATAGAAGGATTAATAGCAGAGTTTTCAAATATGAAAGCATTACGGCTCTTCCAAATTTCCCACAGAACAATAGTAGAAGTTACTAATAATTGTTCCTTGGGTTCCTTTTGATCCTCACAAAGATCATACCATTTGGAAAACCATTTCCCAAAAGACCAATCAGAATTTAAGTTTTCTGTTTTCACATTTAAAGAACAGGCAAACCATATTGATTTAGCATGATAGCAGAAGAGGAGAATGCGCTATTGTTTCCACTTCCTTAGAGCAGATGGGACAATATTCTGTAACCTCTACTCTTCTCTTATTTAAATTTTCTCTACCTGGCAATGCATTCCAACAATATTTCCATAAGAAAGTTTTAGTTTTGGATCTAATTTCATTTCCCAAATGGCTTTCCAGTGGTATTTTTTGAGGATTCTGTTTTCCTTCTCTTCATTTTCCATTCCCCTACCCAGATTTTGATCTAGATTTCTTGCTACATAATAGGCCGATTTCACTGTAAAAACATCCATTCTCATTTATAGTCCAGGTAAGCCTATCTTGCCAAGAGCCTTCTGCTAAAGGTATCCTAAGGATGTTCTCCGAAATTAGCTCACTAAAATTTGATCTGATAAGCATTTCATTCCAGGATCCCCCCCGGGTTTATTAAATCCTTTACTACCTTCAAATTTCTTCCCTGAGGTCTAGGTCTTTGAATTCTGAATCCAGGGACTTTTGGCAGCCACGGATCCCTCCATATTTTGATCTGTTCACCATTATTAACTGCCCAGCAAGCCCCATATCTTAGAACCTGTCTGGCAGCTAGCAAGGACCCTCTTTTTGGAAGATCATCCACTAGGAAATTTTTATTTTTTAGGTATTTTGCCTTGATGACTTTAACCCATAGATTCTCTTCCTCTGTGCACAACCTCCAAGCTTGTTTTGCCAGGAGAGCTAAATTGAAATTATGAGGGCCCTTCACCCATTTAATTTATTTTTGCAGCAATTGTCCCAACTTACCCAGTGAATTTTTTTTCTTTGTATTTCCATCCCTCCACCAACACTCTCTTTTTAGCTTAGAGATAGCTTCACATATTGTTTTTGGTAACAGGAAACAAGACATAGTATAAGAAGGAATAGCTGCTACCACTGACTTCAAGAGAACCTCCTTCCCTGCTTGAGAGAGTAGAAATTCATGCCAACTTTTTGTTTTGCTCTCTATTCTCTCTACCAGGTGCCCATATAAGGATTTTTTTTTTTTTTATCTCCCTAATGCTGTATGTAGCCCTAAGTAAATGGATGGATTTGCTACTCTTTCATACCCAAAGTTCTTGCTAACATTTTTTGAAGCCTAGGATGCAAATTTAACTGAAATAGACTTCTGATTTAGATAAGTTTACCTGCTGCCCCGATGCCTGTTCATAATCATGTAAAGCTTCTAGAAGAATCTGTCGTTCAGATGGACTTGCACTGGTGAATAAATAGCTATCATTTACAAAAAATGGATGTGAGATCACAGGGAAACCTCTGTTAAGTTTTATGCCTGACAGCCGGTTAGAATTCACCAGATCATTGACTTTTATAGATAGGATTTCTGAAACTAGAAGAAATAAGTAAGGAGATAGGGGATCTCCTTGCCAGTCCTTTCTTTGGTTTCAAAATCTCCCCAGGAGCACCGTTTATAAGAATCCTATAGTTGACTGTTGAGATGCACTCTATCACCCACCTTACCATGATCCCCTGAAGGAAGCTCCGTTCCACTCTGTAATAGGCATTACTCATGTCTAGTTGAAGTTATAAAAGGTGCACCTTGAATGGATCGGTGCTTATCTCGCCATGATTGTTATTGTTGATGATTTTTAATCCAGGACCAGAAGACTCTCAAAGACTCAAAACTATGCTTGGGAGTTCTATATCAACAACAATAGACTTCAGTTTCAGCATGTGATTCTAGTTCTTACACTTGGCATGCATGACACTCGATACACCTCATAAATTCTAGAATTCCTGAGTCTTGGACTGATTCGAAAAAGTAGGCAATCATGTCGTCGTCTTCGTTGTGGTTGATGATGTCTGACAAAAATCTCGTGGCCCTCTCTGGAGCTGGATCCTTGAATTAGATTCCCTGTACCTCATATTTTGTCCAATGGAAGGAGCACCATCTCAACGCCCATGACTGGAGGACCCTTTAGTTCCTTTTCAGTCGGGACTTTGGCAGCCTTTTTGCCCTTCTGTCTTAGAGCTGGAGGTTGGAGCTAGACGTTTTATACTCCTTGATCAGTTGATCTAACAGAATCTCTCTCTCTCTCTCTCTCTCTCTCTCTCTCTCTCTCTCTCTCTTTTATTGTCTAAACTCTAACTGCTGTCCTTTTTCAGCTCTCGAATGGAGATGCCCGGAGATTGTGCTTCCGATCAGGTAGCAGCATCAAATGCACCTTTGAAAGAGAACCATATATATATATATATATCGGTATGCAGCTCTGTAGACCTTACGTGAATTCTTATTTTGGGATTCATTTAAATTGATTCTTCTGTTTCTGTCACCCTCCATAACCAGAGGGAAACAGCATTGTTATGGATATGCTAATCCTTGGCATGCTATCGTTGACAAAATAATGCACCATAAGGCAAAACCATCTTCTCTTGATATTCGCAGCAGGGCCTATTCACTTTCTTATTCAACAAAAATCAACTTCAGTGTGAAAACAAGACCGTTTACACCTCGGAGAAAACGGTTCATGCAGCTCATGTAGGAACAAACAAATATTACTCCATTTTTGTGTACATTAACATTTCCTGTCTCAATTTCTTTACATAATCTAGTTGATATTATATAACCAACACCTTGACCCAGGAAGACAATGAAGACTTAAAAACAACATCACCAGAAACAAGAAATTGAAGAAAACAATCCACAATATACATCATTCCACCACAAAGAGTTGCATAATCTAACTGTCAAACCACTGTTAGCACTGCTTCTTCTGGACCTCAGACTTCATTTCTAGGTCATCCTTTGGACACATTCAGCATATCAAGAGCAACAACCACCTTTGGGAGGTGCCTGATACTCTTGTTTCTGTTTTAAAATATTCCTCTTTGCTGAAGTAGATCCCTCTTCCAATAAGCTAGGAACCTCGGATATCTGAAAAGTAATCTAAAATGGTCAGAAAACTTGTAGAGAACTAGACAACGAAATAAAATTTATTCAGGAAACAAACTAAACTACTTAAGTCCCCCCAGTACCCCTGCCCCATTCCAAATTTGTATCCTCTTGTTTATCCCTTTGTGCACAATCTATGAAGAAAACGTGGCTTCTTTTTTCAATAATTTCTTTTTCAAAGAAGGTTTCAACTTATTATGATGTCTATATCGAATGAATTTAACACACGACAGTTGTGTCTAGTTAAATTCCTCTGAAGCTCTTGATAGTTTCCAAGTTTTTAATAAGCTGCCTATATCAAATGAATTTAGTTTTTAAATTCTTTGGGAGCTCTATCAATTAAATGTTTAATCATTTTTATTTTGTTGATCTAGATGGTTGCTTACATTCCCATGACATAATTAGCAACCATCAGACATCAGTAATATGCAGAAGTATGCCCTCACAATTATTAGATTGTCAAAATTTACCTCACCCCGTGGTAGACTACATATGCACAATCTGTACAATTCAAAAGCACTCCCATGCTATACTTGGTTATGCAATGTGTGCTTAGGGATCTATACCCATATCTAAAGCCAAATTAAATGATTTAACTTACAATACCAAATTGTTCACAGAGTAGGTCATCTAAAACAACCTAATGTTATGAGGTTAGAGTGAACCCTAAACCCATCTTACTGTCTTAAGGTGTTCCCACTTCCTTGATACTAAAGTTTGAACGGCCAAAATAATCAGTCAACCTGAAGCACGACAGAGTCCAAAACATCTAGGGGCTCAGCCATGAGTTCATCTGCACCTCAGAGATCTGCCACCAAAAACTCAACTGAAGCTTCTGCAATGGACTACATATCAAGGCTAGGAGCCTATGTATGTTGAGCAGTGGTTCGTCAATGTTGCCACCCAATCCACCTGAACTAACTGGTAATACACATGAAGGCTAATTCAGGCAAGTGGACCCACATTACACTGATCCTGGCAGGTCAACAAGCTTTCCATCATACCAAAAGGATACATTCTATTCTGTGTTGTACATCATGCTGAACGTGGTAGCAGTTTATTGGTACAGCATATGGGCATGACATGAAGCTGTTAGTTTCCTAGAGTTAATAATTCAAGTATTCATCAGTTATAAAGGCTAGTTGATAAAATAAGGTTCTTTATAATCTTGACATGAATTTCCATAAAAAAGTGTGTTGCAGAACTGGTAGCATGTGAATAAGCCACAAATTATTTTCAAGGATAACCTTATAATAATGACATAACAACTGAGTACCACGCATCAATGTTGTAGTAGTTATCATAATATACCTTAATGTTGGAGAAAGCAATCTCCATCAAAAGAAAAACAGAAGTAATAAAAAAAAAAAAAAGAAACTAAGACAATTAATTACTTGGCTCTAGACCAATGACTGAGTCAGTTAGAAACTAGTGTTTAATTTAAAAATCCCTCTACAATTATTGTTACGACATTTCAACATCAAAAGTTTTAACAAATGAACCATGAATACTTTATCCCCCATGACAAACATGGCCACCATCATTTGAGTGTATTACTATCACTAATTAACTGCTGAAAACCTTTGTAATATATAATTTTTTGATAGATAATGTATGATTTGTTTGTATTATTAGCTGTATAGGGTTGCTTGTGGACTTGTGGGTGGGTGAAACTCCATTAAAGGATCTTTTTCCTTCTTTGTTTGCCATGTCATCATTCAAGGGAAGACCTATTCCTGAGTTTCTAATCCCCTCTCCTCCGCTTTCTGGGTTTGGGTGGAATTTAGTTTTTTGGGGGAGTGTGAGAGACACAGAATTGGGTAATTGTTAAAGATGTTTGGTGTCGACCTATCCCCCCCCACCCCACTTTTTGTAGGGAGGTTTTCCATGGTGCTATCAGTACTTGTGACTTGTTGCAGAAGACGAGACCTGGTTGTTGCCTTTCCCCAAATTGATGTGTTTTGTGTGAATCTAATGGTGAAACTACTTATCATCTGCTAATTTCCTGCCCCTTTGCTTGCTGCATTTGGGAGTGGTTCTTTTGTCTTTTTGAATGCAAGTGGAATACTCCAACCAGTTTGGATAGGCTGTTTGATTCTTCTACCTTTAGATGGTCAAAGAGAAGGGGGAGAGATTGCTATGGAGATGCACAAGAGCAGTGTTGTTATGGACAATTTGGGAGGAAAGAAAACTAAGATTCTTTGAGGGAAAGAGAAAAAAATAAAGAAGCATTGGTAGAAGGTATTAAGGTAAAGGTGGCACATTAGGTGAAGTCATTGAATTTATTCTCGGACTTTACCTTTGATGATGTAATAAGAAAGTGGGGGATAGTTGCAGCCTCTTCATCTTCAAAGCAGAGACTTTTCAGGCATTGGGGTCCACCTTTGGCTGGATTTATTAAGTTGAATTTTGGTGGCAGTAGTTTTGGTAATCCAAGTCCATCTGGATTTGGAGGGGTGCTTAGGAATGAGAAAGGAGTATTCTTGGCTCTATATTCAGGATCTCTTGGGGTAGGAGACTCCACAACAGCTGAGTTGAGTGCAGTGATGTTTGGGGTGCAAAAAGCCATGGAGATAGGGGCAAATAAGCTAATCATTGAAGGAAATCCAAAAGTAATCATCAGCTGGTGGAAACAAGAGGAGAAGACTCCATGGTGCTTCAGGAAATTAAAAAATTCAAAAGGTTATCAAGGGATATGCAGGTGATAATTCAATGAGTTCCAAGGGCAGATAACAGCATAGCTGATCATCTAGCAAAGCAAGGGGTTAATAGAGAGCAGTGTTTTTGGGCTCAGTTGTAACTTTCAAAAAGTAAAGTTTGTAGTTTTTGTTTTTAGTTAAGTTGTATTGGAGATAGCCGAGGCTACCCAAGAAATGTAATTTTTTTTCTTTGCTAATTTAATGAATCCCTTTCAGTTACTGACAAAAAATTATTAGCTGTATAGGGTCATTCAGTGTAATACATGTCTAGGCTTCCAGCTCATATACAAAATCTACAAGTAATCCCTGACCTAAGAATCAAAAATAATTCTTTCCCAATCCTAACACAAGTAGAAAAGATATTGTATCAGAATCAGCCAACATAGAAGCCCACCAATGAAATATTGTGCATTCTATACAAGGACTCACAGTTATACTGATAGACTATGTTATACCTTTCTTTCCATACACACCCAACATACAGGCTACAGCAAATAAGTTCAAATTTCACAGGAGGTGTTTTGCTTACTGTACTCACAGGCTACTTACTGGGTTGACTGGGATAACCTGTTGCCTCCAGAACACTTTTACAAAATGAACCTAAACCTGAATGGAGAAGCTACAATATATCAAGAGAGATGCTGGAGAGGCATCATATACACTGCATACATTTCTGATGTCCCGGCCCCTTGGAATGAGGTTATATTTAGTCAAACCTTGTTAAAGACATGAGTTTGGCTGTTCACATGAAGAAGCAAATCTTAGTTGGAATATATATAGGGGCCATATATCCATTTCATAGCACGACTTGGATAGGTTGCATCCTTATTTACAGCAATTTGATACATGGTTTGTTAGGAACTGCCTGACACAGGGTTCTAATGAGGAACCGCCTCCTTGAATGTGTGAGAGAGAGAGAGAGAGAGAGAGATTTGTCTGAATAGTCGTCCTCCCCTTTCCTTCCTCTGATTGTATTTATTCATGAGGTTGTTATTCTGTTACATTCTTGGAAGTCAATTCCCAGTTCTTGTTACATTCAGTTATGCCACCCTGTCATTAGTTGGACCTGAGAGCTGACATGGAGTTCTTCTTTTGTAGGTCTTGAGTTTGGGCTGGTTATTTCCATACACCGGCCTGGGTTCAGTGCGGCTTGTCCTAACATGGTTGGAGACACCTAAAGCTGGGATTATCCTCCACACTATTTGTCCATTTGTTCCTTTTTTATCTCTCTGATGAAAGTCCACACCATTTGCCCTCCGAAAAGCACACCCAAAAGCCATTTTCTACCTCAAAAGAGATCGCTTTTTTTTTTCTTCTTAAAACCTAAGGAATGGTTCATAATGCCACACCACAAATTGGAACCATATGTTTCCTAGGTTGGATTGGAATCCCTTCCAAGAGTGCTACTTCCAAACTCATTTTCCATACCTGTCCCCAACATTGGTTCAATCCTATACCTCCGAAATCCATTTTCTGATCAGCTCCTTGTTTATCAATTTATGGCATCTTGGATCTAGCTCCCATTCTCTCTGTGTGCAAATTTTATTCCATTATACTAAATAGAGTTTCTTGTCATCAGCACGAGGTTATTGCTTGGTGCAATGGTAAAATTTTGGACTGACAAGTGTGAAAACTTGGGTTTAAGTCTGAAGATGGTCAATTTGTGCAAGAAGTGCCAAATGTATCCACTCCAACTCTTCCAAGACCATGGATTGCTGGGGCCAACATTGGGTGATAGTCCAAATAGCCTTTAGTCCATCCCACAAAAAATCCCTTCCTTTTTTATTATGATTTCAGCTACCTATGCTAGCAAAGAGAAGATTAATGATAATAAATACGTGGGCTTGACAATGCACTTGTGATCTATGACACCCAGATACCTGTACAAGGATGCCATTGTTAGATACTTCAATGTTTACTATAAATTCAGTATCTGACACATTGTCTGGCTCTTTCCTTTCCATATCCAAGTAACATAACTTTGATGAGTTTTCCAACCCATTAGCTTTGTATCAAATCTTTCTATAACTGTACTCTATAAATTTAGAGCAGTAGTTAAAACCAAGTGAAGGCCCAAGCATGTTGTTGGCAGAGCACCATGTCTACAACCCAAAGATCCTGCCAGTTCATTGGGCCAATTATGTGCTTCTTCCTTTTGGAAAGCAACATGAATATAAGTGGAAAGAGGGTTTCCATGAGTACACTACACCTCCCTCAAAGTGGTCCTCTTCTGTTCCATTGATAAAGATAGAGAAGAGTGGGCAATAACTATACTCATTGTAAATTATGTTGTTATCAATAGCTACCTAATTTGAGTGAAAAAAAAAAGTGTTGGTATGATTATTGAAATCACACTATGATCTAACTTTCTGGATGGTCAAAAAATAATACATGCATTTTGACTATATGTACCTTTAAAGCAAGTTCTTTAAAACATTGCTCCACATTTTCTCGGGTTTTGGCACTACATTCAAGAAATAAACATCCATAATCTTCTGCTAAAGCAATTCCCTCTGCTCTGCTTACAGCTCTTTCACTATCCTGAAAGCATTACATGTGTCGTCAATTTGAATAACTGAACTCTTTACAAGTAAACTAAATATAAGCATGACAGAAAACAAATAGATATACGTGTATGTATAAATTTTAATGCATGTATCATGAATTTCCTACATTCACTGCTAGTGTACTTTGTAGGAAATTCATGTATCAAGGCCCTAATTGGTAGTAGATGGAATTTACAAGGGTAAACTGTACATATAAATTCTTAATAACCTTCAATCTGATGTTGAAAAGTGATCGACAGGAATAACAATATACTTTTATTTCATTTTCTATATCCTTGTTCTTTCTTTCTTTCTTTCTTTTTTGAGTGACAAGGAAAAGTAATACAGCTGGAAAAATCCCTATTAAAAGAAGTCATTTCTCTCACCTCAGAATGAGAGGAAAATGCTGGAAAGCACTCGTACTACCTCATTGTGGCATCTAGATGTGACATATTACAATTTACAATGCATATATGCAAATTGAAACAGGGATTTGGTGTCCTCATGATTTTTCTTCTGATTTTTATGTTTTATTTACCGCAGGTAATGGATAATGTAGCTAGAGTGCAAGAACTTCAGATCAGAGGAAATTTTCATAGTAATCTATAAGGAACATACAAGAAACTGCCAAAGTAGCACCATAAGAAAGTTCTGTCATTAAGAATAAACAATTCTAAGATTCAGAATCCATCAGTGAGCAACAAGGTTATCAGAAAACAGCCTTCAGACAGTTCCATTAAAATCTTCTAACCAATTTAGCAAGCATACCAGCACCATGAACAAGGAATTTACAATATGGTAAAGATAGAAATACTTTACAAGTTACCTTATCAACTTTGTTCCCAACCAGCACCTTTATACAATCCTGATTAGTGGAGTATAGTTCTATCTCCTTTTTCCATACATCCGACAAATTTGTGAAGGTTTCTCTCCGTGTCACATCATAAACTAAAATAAGAAGTAAAAGTGAGAATGAGTTAATCTCCAACTAATCAAATCATGGGGGAAGGAACAAAACCAAAAAGATACAGGAGAAGGGATTAAAAAAAAGGTTAAAGAATGCTCCAGTCATGTTGCCTACGAGAAGCATGAAACTATAAGGCTGTGTTTGGTAAACGTGCAAATGTAAATATGTTCTGTGCAAATGCAAACTTGGTTTGATTTTGCATTGATAAATTTTGTACTCTTACCAAAAGCATTTGGTTGTAATGGGTATAAACACTAATTCCAAGGTTACAAATTCACTTTGGTTCAGCGTTTGCACCTTTTTATAGTAATATTAAAAATAAAAAGGAAGCTGATTACATCCTCTTAAAGGTGTTAAGGAAACACCTCCAACTCAAAGTCTCAAACTATTGACTAATCAAATAAACGTACAGATTGACATCTTTCAAACTCAAACAAATCCTAAAAACTCTCCCCAAACTCTAATCTAGAAATTTGAGCAAAATCCCCCTCCCTTCACCCACTGATGCCAGACCCACTCTGGCCTCCTCCACCTAAAACCCCAGTTAATCCTCCCCATTAAAATCCTCTTCCTGCCCTTATTCCTCATTCCATGTCTCACCCCCTTCCCCTGTTGTGTTTTTCTTAAGACTCTCTTCATTCTCTTCTCGAACTCTTCAAATGCTCTTCCAGGAAAAGCCTCTCTGCCCAAGAAAAAAAAACAAAGACTTGCTTACCATCACCTCCCTATCAACAATTTTATTTAGATCCACACTTCCCTGCTTCGCCTCCACCAAAAAATTCTTCTCCCTATTATAGACTTCATAATTTTGACCTTCCCCCACAGAAACCCTTTGATTCAAAGCTTCGAATTTCACCCCTTTCTCTTGTACAACCTTTTAAATTTGTTTCTAAGACCACCCTGACAAGTCTATCTTTTAATCACAAGAAGACCTTGGTTACATAAACAATATGGGAGTTAATTGAACCTCTGGATTTCTTTGAAGCCTCTAAAACTTCAGAAAGTTCAACATTAATATTCTCTGTCCTCCTTCGGCCCAAGTTTTTACCTAGTTTTCTAACTACCACTTTGGCAACCCGATGATCATTGCATCTCCCTAGAATACCAGCCTTATCCTTCTTACCCAAAATTTTCTTAGAAACTTCAGGAAACCAGCCTAAAGTGCACATTCATTGAAGCAAATAAGTCTTCCAAGAAAGTGATGGTACACTAAAGTGTCCATTGCAACATAAAAGCACCACTAAATTCCAAATCTCATCCTATGAGTGACTAGCAAGTTTGATGAAGCAACCAACTTCTAAACTTGGGAAATAGCTAGTCTAGGTGCAACAATACACCTTGAAGAAAAAAAATCCTGACATACAAATAAGATATTGAACGAGAAAGAAACTAAGTTGAAGCTGGAAGACAAGTTAGAAGACAGCTCACTGGTTGTTTGACTAAAGGTGTTAAGACAATCTTATCAAGCTGTGCATGTTTGACATTTATGCTTAGCTTGAGGGGGAGTGTTTAAGTGGTCTGCTAGGCCCCGTGGGCTGTGTTATCTTTTTACTTATGCTGTATTGTTGAAGTTTTTTTTTCCCTGCAAGGTGCCAACCAGCAGGTTGGTAAGGTCTCCCACTGGTTGTAGCGGAGACTTGGGATCGGATTCCACCTGCAGCTGGGTTGGGGGATGGGCTACCCCCTGTTGTGTAGCCCTTCAAAAGAAGTAAAAAAGAAACTTGCAGTTTTCTCATCTCAGTATAAATAACAATGTTAAGGGTGTGGCATCAAATTTTAGACTCTCAGCCTATTTTATATTTTCTATTTCTTATCTTCTTTCTTCTTCTACCTTTCATTTCTTCTTCTCTGTTCAAACCTGATTATAATCACAAGGAATAGTGTCCCTCCATCTAAAGGAGCAAACTAAACTTTGATGGATACTATCTTGGAAATCCAAGTCCTTTAGTATCATGAGGGGCAAGAGGGGCAACTCTTATTGGTTTGTTCAAGGCAATAAACCTTGGGATTTAATTCATCCAGAAAAAAAGCCCTTATTTAGGGATTGCAATTGATGTACTCTGTTGGCTATGATTGGCCGAAGATTCAAGAAGACCCTAAGATGGTGATTGAATGTGTGGGGATGCAGAACAGCAGAAGGCCTATGATCACATGAATTGGGGTTTCTTGGATTACATTTTGATTAGAATGAACTTTGGCTCTAAATGAATAAGTAAGATAGAGTTACATCTCCACACCCAAAAACTGTCTCTAAATGGAAACCAACAGGTTCCTTTATAAGCTTTTGGGGCTTGAGACAAGGGGACCTACCCCCTATTGATTTGTGCAATGGAGGCTTTGGCTAGGATTACTGGCAAGACAGCAGAAAGTGGTTTCCTGGAAGGCTTTGGAGTAGGAAATAACAGGTGCAAGGTTTATCTTTTATTCAGTTTGCTAATGATATAGACTTTTCTTGTATGCTTCTTCCTCCCAAGTCCCAACTCTATCTGGTTAAAGTTGCCACTGGTTTGAAGTTGTTTCACGTCCTCGTATCAATCTCAATAAGAGTGCCCTCATCCCTATAGGTTTGGTTGAGAACCTCAAAGAGATGCCTGAGATGATGGGGGAAAAATATTGCCAAGATGCCCATCAGGTACTTGGGGTCACCTATTGGAACAAAATGCAAAGAGTCATCCTGATAGATGGAGAGGAGATTAGCCTCATGGAAGATGATTTACCTCTCTTAAGGGAGGGAAATAACTATCCTCATGAATATGTTCCCCATCCCCCAGAAAGTTACAAATAGAATTGAGAAGATCTAAAGAGATTTTCTTTGGAATGGCTGTGCTAAGATCCATCTTGTTGACTGGGGATAAAATATGCTCTAAGGCTGTAGGTGGACTGGTATTTAGTAGGAATGGCAATGGGGCGGGGCGGGGACGGGGAGCCTCTCCCCATCCCCATCCCCGCTAACGGGGACAAGGTTATCCCCATCCCCATCCCCATCCCCACGGGGATCCTCATTCCCCGTGACTTTTTATAATGTTAACCATTTTGTTTTTTTTTTTTATTTTATTTAAAAATAAAAATGAAATAATTAAAATTTACAATCCTATTAGAAAAAATTCAAACATATTCAACCATAGTTTTAAAAATATTAATTTATAGATGTATGTGTACATACATACATATATAGCGTATGCATACATATATACATATATTAGTGGGAATCCCATGGGCGGGGATTGGGGTCCCCACGGGGCAGGGAGTGCTCTCCCCGTCCCCGCCCCGTCCCCACTAACGGGGATGAAAATTTCCCCATCCCCGTCCTCGTGGGGGGAAAATCATCTCCATCCCTGCCCCATTTGGGGCGGATCCCCACGGGGATCGGGGAAATGGCGAAATGGTAAATGAGGTTCTATTATCTAAGTGGTGGTGGAGATTCAATATCTAGCAGGAGTACAGGATAGCCAGTGGCAACAGCTGGTAGCATATAAGTTCAGCATTTCCTCAAATGAGTGGGAGCCTTGGATAAGCAATACGACTTATGGCTTCTATGTTGGAAGGGCATAGAAAATGTTTATAACGTGTTTGTAGAAGGGATTGAATTCAGGATAGGGGAAGGGGACAAGGTATGTTTATGGTCAGACAAGTGGTGTGGCAATAGCTTGCTGCTGCATCTATTCCCAAACATTTCTTCTATTGCAATTAACAAGGAAGCCAAGGTCAAAGGTTGTTATGGTTGATCCAATGGTCATATGGTCTGGGTGCTAAACTCTGTAGAAATCTGCAGGATTGGGAGATTTGGAGAGTTCATTGACCTTCACCAATTTCTCAAAAAACAGCAGCCAAGGATGGGCCAACAAGATGAGAATGTATGGTTGTGGGACTCCTAGGGGAGGTTATATCTATTCAATTCATGATGATAAGACTGCCTTCAGCAGTCTCTCTTTTCCTTGTAGGATGGTATGGTGTAAAGCTATGCCATCTAAAGTTTCTTTCTTCACATTGATGGTTTTGTGGGGAAAATGCATCACAAGGGATAAATTGATCAGAAGAGGGATGATTGTGGTTGATCCTTCTTGTGTGTTCTGTGGTCATGGCCTTGAATCATCTGATACCTTCTCCTTCATTGCAAGGTGACCTGGAGTATTTGGTGCAAGGTACTCAAGGAGGTATATGTCAGATTGTGCCCACCACAATCAATTTCAAGTCTTCCAAGCAGCTGGTGGATCAAGGGCTTATCAAGAAAAGGCAAGCTGCTTTGTAACTCCATTCCAGCAGTTGTGCTCCGGTGTGTCTGGATGGAAAGGAACCAAAGGGTTTTCCAATACAAATCTACCCAGATAGATGAATTGGTGAGGACAGTATTCCGCATCATCAGCTCATAATTGATGATTTAGAAAGAGTACAGTGAGAGTGAGACTACTTTTGTGGATGTCATTTCGTGTTCTCCTTTGAGGAGTTAATTGAGTGTTTCCCTTGGAATTTATTTTTGTAGGGAAGCCTATTTCACTGTATGGTTTCCTTGCTGATGTGGTGATGTGTTTTCTTTTGGGGCACTCCACCCCTTACTAATGAAATTATGTTACCTTCTTTGGAAAAAAAATGATTAGTGACCTCTAGAAGGATCAGAGTGTGGCAACATTCACTAATTTCCAGAAACTCAAAATTTACTTAAGTGACCTAAACAATGCAATGAATGACAAGCCACCAACCAGCATGATAATTACAAAATACACATAAAACAAGTAGTCATGAAAGTCAATGTCTGCAATGATTTATAGAATCCATGTAATCAAAAGAATCACCACATTTCATGGGTAGTGGTAGCTTAATATAAGACCTTAGTTAAGAATAACCTTCTTAATTAATGTAAGATAGCTCCAAACATATGAATGTTACTGATACTAGTAGTTTCTCAGATTCATTATTACCCAATCTAAGATGAGAGTATTTGCTTCTAGAATTGTTATCTTGACATTAATATTTGAGAGAGGAC